TATAACAATTATTAACTATATATTTTAAAGTAATATTTTTGGTAATTATTCATTTTGAATGTTTTAATTCACAAAAAGCTCTAAATGGCAGATATGAAAAAAGATTTAAATGGACAAATTTAATCAATTTAATTTTAAAAAATAAAAACAAATTTTCATAATTTGTTATTATCTCAAATCAATTTTAGTAAACTTAATTTTTAATTTAAAATGTTTAAATTTTAATATATCATTTAATGCACTTATTCCTATTTTACTAAGTTTTGTAATGAAAATTTGTTAAAATTTTATTGAATTCATAATTTTGTTGTGTTTTGGTAAGATATTGAAATAAAGAAAGTATAAAGAAAATTATTAAGAAAATTTGATATAGGAAAAGTTATGGGAAACTTTTTCCCTTGAAAACATTTGGGAACAAAAGTTTATACGTTAAAAATTATGTCAAAAAAATAAAAACTAAAAATTTACTTTTATGCTTTATTTATTGTAGTTTTTAGGGATGTAAGTATCAAAATATCCTTAAAAAATCTTAGAAAAGGATATTTCTCATGAAAGTTTTCCAACACACCCTATAAGCTTTCTCTCTCTCCAAAATATTTAATTGAAAATATGTATAACAAAAGTAGATTAAGGTCGCAAGGAATGTCATCTCAACTTCTAAAAATTTAATACTACAATTTAAAAGTATTAGGTTTGAGTATTGAAATGGGTGGAAAAGTATTAAGAAAAGAGAGATTTGTTTATTATTGCCTATTAATTTCATCATCATATATGAGACTTGAGAAAAGAGATCACCATCACTTGTTTTCTTTTTTTTTTTGGAACAGGGGAGAATTAGTAGGGGAAGGGGAGTAAGGCCTGGATTTGAATTTAGGCAATTATATTCACCACATCCATTCAAGGGGGTGGTCATTAGGTCACCAAAGATTGGACGATCACCATCACTTGTTATATAAGTAAAATAATAAGAAATAAATAAAATACATGGTAACTATTGGTGCAAATATGTGTGGTGCTGTACAAATTAAACTGAACTATAAAATTTTAACTAGTAAATTAGGGGTAAACGACTTAGTATTAGAGGTTGCTTTCCATGTTATTTAATAATTTTTATTTTATAATTTAATATAATTTAAATTATATAATAAAATATTCTACTCAAAAAATTAAAAAATAAAGAAGTGGAGCGATAAATTTGGTGTCTGATTCGAATAGTACAAAGAGCAGACATGGGGAACATGAAAAGTTATGTGGAGAATCGGTGTTGCCTAATAATTTATTCCTTTTTAGCTATTTCCATGCTAACATTACAATGTCACTAGTGGTCTCGATGCTGTACTCGTCTTCCCAATATATATTCAACATATGAATTCATATATATTCTCTCAAATCAGAAAATTTTGTTGGTCGAAATAGTATCATCCACATAGGAGTCGAACTAATTTAAAGATATTGATTTGAAGAGAAAGTATACATCACACTGGATTTGTCTAAGTGCACCAAATTTAGCTGTAGAATATATAGGTACACTTTAAACAAGCTAGCGAGATTTCAAAACAATTAGTTAAAAATTTAGAGATTAAAATCTTATAACACTTATAATTAAGTGGTAGGTTTGACCCCATAAATGAATAACTTTCTTTAATTTTTTTTTTTTAAATTTTACATATTGTGCTTATCTCATCAAATCTGTACTAAATGCAATTATATATACCATCTTTATACTTGTACCTCATATATATATATATGTATATAGCACACCTTTTTCAAAAGGATATATTTCGAAACGACTTAATTCAATAATTAGTTTATAAACTATTAACTTAATATTTTAATTTAGTTTAGAAACTTTGTTTTTTTTTTTTAAATGGTTTATAAACTTTGGAAAATATTTTAAAATAGTCTACCGTACAAAATTTTTGTTAGATTTAGTAGAAAAGGTAGTCCTTTAAGTTTTGCAAAAGTGACATTATAATCTTAATAAAATATTATGACTCAAGAAATATTTTATAGAAATAGATTAATTAAAGTTTGTAATAAACTTAAGTAATTAGCTCAATCCAAAGAGAGAAACTTAGCAAGTTTACAATGAGAAATTTCAAGAGTAAGTCTTGCAAATCCAATAAAAGTTAGAATGATACCCTATAGAATTGATGAGTTACTATGAAATAGATTTGTTTATAAATTTTGTAAAGCATATGCTCTAGAAGAATTAAAACATTTAGCAAGATAAGAATAAAAACTATTTTTACGGTGAATATAAATTTAATGATTAAAATATCAAAAATATATATATATAGTTAAAGGACTAAATGTTTTCTTATAGAATAAGAAGATTTTCATTAAAAATAATGGACTAGATGAAATTGAAATAAATGTGAAAAATAATAGACATGATTGAAAGAATTTAAAGATAATAAATAAAACCGAAAAAAAAAAGAAAGTTATTAGTTGATTTGTTAAATTAAATCATTTTAAAACTTTAATTGATCCTTTTTTGAAGAATGAACCAACAATATCCTTCAATGCTGTCTTAAGTTGGACAATCATATATATTACAATTAGTCGGTCAAGTGTCAGATCCCATTGTCCATTGGCCATCATACACATCCAATCTGTTAACCCAAGCAGCCATTAACAATCTTCAGTTTCCCGGCTATTGCTGGCAAAAAAAAAAAAAAAAAAAAAAAAAGGCTTTCATGTTTATTGGAAATTGATAGGCAAAACCCAACATTAAACTCTCAAACGTTCTTTAAATTCTCAATTAAGTCCCTAAATTTTTATTTTTTTATTTTTTGATAGGAAATGGAAAAAATTATATTAAATAATAAGAAAGTACAGAAGAAACTCCATCTCAAGGCATATAGCCTAAAGCATTATAGCCTAAAAACAAAATTTGAAGCATAACCTATAGCACTAGTAACAGATTTAAACTATACCCATGACAAATATAGACAATTAAGTAAAGAGAGCCATCTGCAACTAGAGATTACAGTTGGAATCGCTATATGAGTTAAATAAGACTACTAATGTAGAAAGGAGAGTCACTATGAGCATCAAAAGTTATTGGACATCCTCACCTATTTAACCAATTTCATGGGAAGAGTAAGGGATTTCAGCAACAAACAGTCCCCAACCCACAAGTTGCTACCTTACTTGTTCTTAAAGAAGAACAAACAAGAGGGGTAAGGGCCTTCTCTAGACGAGCACAAGGCCCTCCAGTTGCCTCCATATACTCCCAATCAAGTTCCCATCTTTGCTGATCCTCTTCAAACCTATGTTGTCCAAACTCATTAAGGGAACTAAAGCTCCTTTGCCGGCTTGAACATCAAGACCATAGCCGGCCTCACCAACAGCATCCCTTTCCTTCTGCAATTGGCTGGCTAATTGGAAATTCGTGTGAACCAGTTTTGCTGAATTCAACCCTCACCAAGATCCCATCCGAGGAGATACCCCAAAGCGAGATTCTTGCCCATTAAAAAGGAGAAACCCACTCCATCGGCAAGATCAATTCCAATCACAGCCTTCGAAAATCAACAAATGTAAACTCTAGAAAACCCAAATATGTCATTGCCTTGTGGTCCCTTGGGTTGGAGTTTCCAAAGCAAGACAATGACAAGATGAAGGAGGAGATCAAGAGGAGCAAGGGAGAGGTGAGAAGAAAAGAGGGATGAAAGAACTTCTATGCTGAAGAGAAACCCTAAGGAGAAAAACCTACCGCCACTGCTCTCAACCCTAGAAGCAAAGCACAGGAGAAACCCTAAGTCCCTAAATTTTTATTGAAGTAAAGAAGTCTCTAAACTTGGCAATGTAGACAATTTAACCATTTTTCTTATGGTGCACTTAACGCACATTTGTGCTTTATTTGTATGGACAAAATTAATACTTACCACATAACCAATGATATGTCAATACTTTTCCTATGCGAGGCATAAATGGGCATTAAATTCACCCTAAAAGAAAGAAAAAAAGGTAAATTGCTCTTATTACAAAGTTTAGGGATTTATTTGTTTCAATAAAAGTTTAAGGGTTTACTAAAGAATCTAGAGTAAATTCAACGCTTAATGTAATGTTTTGCCGAATTGATATCAAGATGTTGTTTTGCAATATACCATTAATTAGATAGAGGGATCCCTTTAATATCAAGGATATCTCTTAATCTAATAGTTAGTATTTTACAATTCAATACACTTCAAACTGTAAAATAATTTTTTAAACTGTTATTACTACAAATTAAATTATCAAGACCACTAAATTTACAATTTAAACTGTCATGCAATGAAGTAAAAAAAGTTCGTAAATTTAGCTGTAGAAGTTGTAAATTTGGTAGCTTCCCTTGCTCTTTTAAGGTAACAACTTGGCCACTTAATTGCGAGTAAAGGTGAAAATAAGGATTTCAACTTTGCACTTTTTTCTATTTAAGGATGTTAACTTTGTCAGTTTCTAAATAAGGATGTCAACTTTCAATTTTTTTCTAAGTAAAGATGTTAACTTTGTCAATTTTTAAATAAGGATGTCAACTTTTAACATTTTCTATTTAAGGATGTCAACTTTCAACTTTTTCTATTTAAGGATTAATTGAATAGTGATGTTGACATGGCTAACATATTTTTTAGGTTAAATACCTGAATTGGTCCCTCAACTTTTATTTTTGAACCAATTCATCCTTGAACTTTAGAAAGTACCAAAAACGTCCTTCAACTTCAATTTTCAATTAATAAAATTATTTCCTAATTCATGGAAGAATTAATTAAATTTTATTTAATTTTATTAAATGGTAGGTGGGACTAATTAAATGGGAAAATAT